TCTTTGGTCTTGCTTGATGAGTCCAGGTGTTTCCTTTTAAAGGTAAGAATTAGCATTTTAACCAGTCAGCTTGTTTGGCATTTACCCACCGATTGTATCATTTGCATTGGCTGACATTGCCCTAATAATGGAGAAAAAGCAAATCTGTTTAGGTAGTCATACATTTCTTTTTATGCACACCACACACGAATTATTTGTCTACCTTACATTTTGTGCAGGAGATATTCTCTTAACAGTTGGTTGCAAATTGAATTTTTAGAAATCAAAATCAGTTGGCTGCAGGAACATATCAGATAAGCTTTATCTTCTTTCCTAATGAATCATCACCAGGCAGTGACTCCTGTCATGTAATTTTTTAGATTCTTTTCCTTGGTTCTTTTTGTCAAGTAATTGATTTATAAATGAGTATTTAAGTTTTCCGGTCAGGCTTCCTGTTTAAAGGAAGCCTGCCGTGAATTATTTCACAAGTTCGGATTTTAATGATCTATGTTGGCGGAAGTGAAGAAGGCAGTGCCTTTTGTGATTTGTTTTAATGCTAAACCTAAGGCCAAACCCCCTCGTGTTGATAAACCAATAAGAGAAGTCATGTGAACACTGATAATGGCACTTTTCCAATTGCAAATATTTTGCATTCCCTATGATTTTTATTAGGATACAGAATCATATATTCTTTTACCTATGGAAGTATCTTATACTGGCTAGGAATCTACTACAGTGTTGAATTGAGTTGGTGAGGTTGGCCATCCTTGCCTTCATTTTGATCTTAAAGAGAAAGCATTCAATCTTCCACTATTAAGTATTATGTTAGCTAACGGTAGGCATTTCAGGGGCACCTGGGTGGCTCAGTCAGTGAAGCGTCTGCCTTCGGCTCAGGTCATGATCCCAGGGTCCCGGGATTGAGCCTTTCCTTGGCATTGCTCAGCAGGGAGTCTGTTTCTCCCTCTCCCTCTGCCCTCCCCATCCCACCCCCCACTCATGCTCTTCCTCTCTCAAATAAATAAAATCTTTAAAAAAATAATAAATAAATAAAAATAAAATAAAAGTAGGCATTTCATTAAGGCTTGTTATCAATTTGGGAAAATCACCTTCTATTATTAGCTTTCTGACAGTTTTTATCAGGGATGGATGCTGAATTTTGCATGTTTTTTTTTTCCTACATCTGTTAATATGGTGAATTAATATTGATTGATTGACTTTAAAATGTTATACCAAACCTGCCTTCATGATTAACCCTGTTTATTATGTTTATATATATATATGTTTATATATATATATATAAAACTAGATTTATTTTGCTAAAATTTTATAAGGATTTTTGCATCTGTGTTCATGAGAGATGGCAATCTATAGTTTTCTTGTCTTGTAATACCTCTGACTAATTTTGGCATCAATAATGCTGGCCTCATAAAAAGAGTTAGTTGTGTTCTCTGTTCTATTTTCTGGGAGAATTTTTGTAGACTTGATGTGATTTCTTCCATAAATACTTTGTAGAATTCATAGACGTCATCTGTGCCTGGCATTTTTCTTGTGGAAAGGTTCTTAACTACAAGTTCGGTTTCTTTATTAGGTATAGTGTTATTTAAGCTGTACATTTTTTCTTGAGTGAGTCTAGTTGAATTATAATTTATGCAACTATTTATAAGACACATGGGTTTTAATAAATCAAGAATAATCCATCTAAATTGACATCTTTTAAAAAACCAAGCAGATCAGGGAAAGGGGCTAGGGCATTTGCAAGTGGGCACATCCACAAATAACATGACCATTATGGGCACACAATAGACAGTAATTTTGTGCTTATGATATCCTGTTGAAAAGCAAACACTCAGGACGATAATCATAATTACTTGTTACTTTTCCAAACGATTGAAATAAATACTGCATGAGTCAGTTACCTTTCTATTTCAAATACCTATTTAATGACAAAGTAGGGATCAATATAAGACTTCCAGTAATGGAGGAATGATACTTGTACAGTCAAAATTCACTATTTATGGATTCAGGTACTAAAATGTATTTGTAACCTCAGAATCATACTTGTGACGCTCTCACGTTCATTTGCAGCCATGCACAGAGCAGTGAAAACTTTGAGCAGCCCAGTGCACACACTCCCACCTGAGATCAGACAAGGCAACGCTCTGCCTTCCTTCCCACCCTCACGCAGGGTTAACTACAGGATGGAGCAGCAGGGGGCAGTGCAGCTCAGTGCAAGAAGCTCAAGCTCTGGGGCCACTGCATAGTTTGAATCCCACCTGTGGCCCCTCTTAGTGGGGTGGCCTCAGGCAAGTCACTTAACGCTTCTGAACATCTCTTTCTCTTCTGTAATATAAAGAAAGTAGAATCTGACCGGATGAGTTGTTCTTAGGATTTAATACTGTCATCAATGTGGAATGTGTATTGTATCTATATGTATATTGCTTCTAGGAGAAATGATACATTATTTGCTGTTTCATTGTTCCCAGTGTCTTGTTAGACCTTACCTAGCATGAATAACAAGAATGGACTATATTTAGCTTTCTTACCTGATGAAAGTATGCAAGTATGATTTGCAGATGTTTAACAAACCTTGCTTTTAAGATAAGCGTCTCTGATCATAAAGTACTATGTATTTTACATGTTGCTAGAATTGATTTGCTGAAGTTGTAAAAAGCATTTTTGTATCTATGGTTGGTAAAGGAATTTTTTAAAAAAAAAAGAAATGTGTAATCTCACAAGTTTAGGAGCATGGGAGAGGAGATAACACATAAATACCAACAGTTTTTACCAAGTTGAGTGGCAGGTGACAGCAGACAAGAGAAGGCTGACACACACAGGTGTGTGGAGTTAGAGTAGAGCCAAGGAACAAACTCGTTTACTCCACGGAACTGCAGACGGCTCAGGGTGGTTTCAGAAAGGATCAGGAATGGAAGATGCCAGTTATCCAGGGGCACGGCTGGCTCAGTTGGAAGAGCATGCAACTCTTGATCTTAGGGTCATGAGTTCAAGCCCCACGTTGGGTATAGAGATTACTAAAAAAGATAGATAAGCTTTAGAAAAATTATGAAAATAAAAAGAAAATACCAGATATCTGAAGATTAAAGGTGCTGGAAATATGAAAATTGGATAAAAAAAAGTCCTTAGAAGGAATAGTTAGTACCCTGCCCCTGCCTCCTTCTCTAATTAATCCAAAAATGGGAAGTTCACTCTCTAAAGAAAGTAAATGAGATATGAATAGATTCAGGAGATCAGACACTGCTAAATTTGAGAACGGGATCCACACCATAAATGGGGCCTCACAGTTAAACAGAGAGACCCCTACCTGCCCCTTCCTTTCTTGATTTCAAATGACTAAAAGATGATGGTTTCCAGAGAGGAGATTGCCACATTCCAATCTGTAGAGAAAGTGACCAGTCCAAAAAAAAGACATCTGGGTCATAACATTAAAAAAAAAAAAAAAAAAGATCTCAGATTCTGAATTTTTGGGGTCCCCTGATGAAACATCTGGATCATCTGGATGCCTTCCCTCCCTGCTGTGAAGCTTCACTAGTACATAAGCTTTCTGAGGAGCACAGTTGTGGTTTTTTTCCCCAGTTAGCATTTTAGTACCTTGCTTGTAAAGACAGACAACCAACAATCACCAGATACTTGTAGAAATACCTTTAATGTGAAAGCAGAGGCCAAAATGAAGAAACACTTGAAAGAAGAACTTGAAAGAAAAAGATAATTCAAGGGGTGCCTGGGTGGCTCAGTCAGTTAAGCGTCTGCCTTCAGCTCAGGTCATGATCCCAGGGTCCTGGGATCGAGCCCCACATCAGGCTCCCTGCTCAGCAGGGAGCCTGCTTCTCCCTCTGTGTCTGCCTACCACTTCCCCTGCTTGTTCTCTCTCTCTTTCTCTCTGTCAAATAAATAAATAAAATCTTTTAAAAAAGAAAAAGGTAATTCAAGGAGAAAAAAAAAATCACAAAACTGTCTCTGACTAACCCAGAGAGAAAAAAATCCATGAAGCGTGGTATAAAAGAATATCACTCAAGAAATAAACAGGAGTGGCTGCATAATGAAAATACAATACCTCTTCTTTGAAAAGTTTTGGGGATTTCATCTGGGAGCACAGAGCATGAAACCAGGGGTAGAGCCCTTCTGAGCACAGGCACTTGTGTGATGGCGCAGGGGGCACAGACCTGTGACACCAGCCTTGGAAATAGGAAAGAACTCTTGGAGCTTAAACATGCAATAGCAGAAATAAGAAAGTTGAAGAGCTGGAAGATAAGGAGGTTGGACAAAAGGATGAAAAAACACTCAAGAAAAGAAGATAGCTTAAGACATTCATGATGTAAATATAGTCAGAGTTCCAGACAGAGGACAGAAAAACTAGAGACAAGGAAATAATCCTACAGGTATTTCAAGGCAAGTTCCCAGAGCTGAAGGACATGATTTTATAGGTTTCAAGGGCCAAGGCAAGGTACACAATCAGGCAATTTTGAATTACCAGGAATAATTTCCTGAAAGCTTTCAAAGACAGATAAACCAAAGTGAAGCAAAAACGGTGTGTGTGTGGGGGGGGGGGTCATGTGCAAAGCAGTGGAAATCAGAATCGTAGCAAATAGAAAATGTTAATTTAGCCTGAATTTGTGAGAGGATAGATGGATAGATTTTTTTTTTTTTTGAGACTGGGGAGAAGAAAAGAGGGTAAAAAAACTAAATTCTCATCTACTATAATAAGAAGTCAGTAGATGGTCAATCTCAATGAAAAATCAGAAAATGGTCAGATAAGCATGCCATGTAGATATTTGGAGGTAAAACAACAATTAAAAAAATAACCTATTTCAGCACAAGAATCAAAGGCCTCTTGAGTGCAGGAATCATGGATTGAGGAAAGGAACCACTGTTTTTCAACATCAGTCATGTACCTTTTATCTCTCTGTGTTAGTCATTTAACAATTACAATTAAAGAATAGGTAAGGATTTGGACGAGGTTGGCTTGAACTGCCCAGATGTGACACTAACGCTTCTTCTCTCTCCAGATTCCAGGTACATTCTCTTGCCTGTCGTGTTACATCACCTCCACATGCACCTGCAAGAACAGAAGGACCTGATCATGTGCGCACGTATCCTTAGCAACGTATTTTGTCTCATCAAGAAAAATAGCTCAGTAAGTAAATACAGGTCATAGTATGTAGTTCCCATCAAATGGCTTCTGGAAATAAAAATGTTAAAGTCTTCAGAGAAACCACACTGAAGAGTAACCCTCTGAGACTCTCCTTTTTACTTCCAGCTGGGTTGGACATTTTGCTTTTCCTCTGAAATCCCTTTTTTTAACCTTGTAAGACTGCTATAACCCCAAATAACCTGGGTTTCCTAAACTTGTATTTCGAGAAAGAACTGAATACCCAGTGAGAAAAATTAGAAATCTCAAAGCCTCCCACATGTGTCTTTAATCTTGATATGATGAATACTCTGTGGCAAGAATAAATTACTGCCTGCAAAGTGAAGTCTTTTTGGACCCATTCTGTGGAAGACTGCGTGGTGATGCTCAGAACTTGGCCATGGCCCTTGGGCCCTGCCCTGCAGAAGTTGTGGAAGCAGAGGAAAGCCCCAGGAGACAAGGAGCGTATCTTGCACTATAGTCATTACTCAGCCACAACAGTAATCACTAAATTGTTAAGGATTCGGGAATTCCTGTGGGTATACCTGACTCTTGCTACAGCGCAGTTGCATTAGAGGATGCAGGGCAAATAGAGAAAAATCACATGCTTACTTAGAAATGGGGACAACTCTTTGAGTATTCATGTCCACGGCTCTCGGGACTCATGTGAAATTCACACGTAAAGGACATCCTGTTCTCGTTCTGTCAGTTTGCAGCTGTGAGTTGGCATTATACTCGTCTTTGACAGCTGGTCCAGTGCAGTGCTGGGACTCTTGTTTCTCTGCCTCCCTGCTACTACTCGGCTACAGTTTCCCCATGTTTGTCACTCTTACTTATGATCGCCTTCTGAAGGGCTCAGCGTTGAGCTGGCGTGAACCCCAGTGGAAGGAATGGAGAGAGGGCCCCAGCACTGGAAACAGAGTTGGTACTTGAGAGGAAAAGGTCAGAAGCTCTGTGTGTAGAAATGTAATAAGAGAGACCTGCCCAGGGAAGGACGACTGATTTTAACACATCCCGAGGATGCCAGGCCTCAGAGTTGGGCTGGGACTGGGGAGAAGAGTGATGACAGGGGGGAAATGTTAGTTTTGCTTTAAAACTTTCCTGTGTAATTCTGCTAAGTGAGATGGTTCACTGCAGAAAACTTAAAACGACTGTCAACAGTAGTGAAAAAGACTTTTTAAAAATTTCTCCTGTCTATTTCAGTTTGGAAGTTACAGTCAGCTTTTGGACTTACCTGATAATGAACTCAAAACAGAAACTCTGCTCTGCGGGGGAAACCATGGTAGTTTTCTTGCAAGTGTAAGAAAGTTTATCATGAAACCCTGGCCAAAAAGCAGTTTCAAACTCACACTTTGTAAAAGTTTTTGTTTGTTTGGCTGGTTCTTTTTTGGAATGACCATCTCCTTGGTAAGGAGCCTTTGGACACAGAGTTTTGTCTTGTGCAGGCATAATAAGAATCCAACTCTACTACATTCAGTCTGTGCAGAGCAATTTGGGTTTCTCTCTCAAGTCCTGGGGACTTGGCTACAAGTATTAATTTTGCTTTAGGGAAGCACCACGGCCACTGACCTTAGATCCAGTCTGGAGCTCATGGTGTTCATCTACACTGAATGCTGTTTGCTCATCTTACATGGAGGATTTCCTAAAAATCATTTTTATAGGAATAGTCGTTTGCACTTAAAAGAGAGTTTTGGAAAATGACCTTTGCAACTCAAGTGATGGGAAGAGTATATGTAAGCACAAGCTGAAATCAGAAGAACTAAGGACTTTGGGAACCAGGAAGGGCTTTCAGTGAGGAATCCGACTCAGAGAGGCCAACTGCCTGGGCCCCATCACACACCGGGTCTGTGCATAGCTGATGCTCTGAATTCATCTGCTGTGCTTTCCAGGATGTCACCCCACCTTTTCATTTGTATGTCCAGTAGCCACAGCACAGCCTCGCTGGGTACTCTTGGGTAAGCTGTGAACTTCTCTGTGCCTTTGTTTTCTGTAAAAGAAGGTCATTTACTTAGGTGACGTAGGTGAGGTCCAGTTCTGTCAAGTTCTTGAATCCTCTGACTTTTTGATTCTGTATTTGGAAATGTGAGGTTTTTTTCCCCCTTTTCCATTAAAGAGAGATTAATACCTATATTAAGCCACCATTTCCTGAACTCCTTATTTTTTTTCTCTTAAGGAGAAATCTGTGTTGGAGGAAATAGATGTGATAGTGGCCAGCCTGCTGGACATCCTGCTGAGAACCATATTGGAGATCACCAGTCGACCTCAGCCGTCCGGCTCTGCCATGAGGCTCCAATTCCAGGATGTCACTGTAAGATCATAAAGCAAATGGCACATGGAACAGAGCATAGTTGTGCTTGTGAAAGCTTCGGTCACTTTGAGAGTGGGTTGCTGTAGGAAGCTGGGAAATCTGGCCTTGGGAGAGTGACCCATATGTATTTCAAATACACATGGAGTTACTTACATTTTACTAGGGAATGAAGATAAAAAACACTGTTTGTTAAAAGATCTTGGTTTAAGATACGTTTAATTTCAGAAAGCCAAATTTGTTATTAGCTCTCACTTTGCCCAGTTTAAATTAGCCCATGATTCTGTGTCCCTAGTCCTCATGATAACTTTTCATTCTCTTTTTATCCATCAGATTGCTTGAGGAAATAAGGATAATGAAATAGAGAAACAGGAGTCAGGTGTTCTGAGTTCTAATTCTGGATTTCTCACTGTGAATGGCAAGGATCTTAATCTGGGGAGGCTTCAGTTTCCTTAGCTATGAAATGAGAAAGTTTGACATGGTGGTTTCTAAGTAACCTTCAAGCTCCACTATTTTATGAGCGTAATATAACATGATTTATAAAAAATTAAGAAATAATGTATCTGATAGTTTATGTATGTGTATATATTTTTATGTGTGTGTATTTGTCTATAGAGAGAGATGGATGGATGGATGGATGGATGGATGGATGGATGGATTCTATTTAAAACTCACATTCAGTTGACCGAGAATTTGTTTTTTTAGATCTGATTAAGCATATTCTTCCAAATATCAGAAATGGCAGTAGATGCTGTACTTTTCATATATTTACAAAAATGTCAGCTTCTGCCATTCTCATTATAAATAATCCACAATAGAACCTTTGTCTTAAGAATGTTTGCCTATGGGGCGCCTGGGTGCTCAGTTGTTAAGCGTCTGTCTTCAGCTCAGGTCATGATCCCGGGGTCCTGGGATTGAGCCCCACATCAGGCTTCCTGCTCAGTGGGGAGTCTGCTTCTCCCTCTCCCACTCCCCCTGCTTGTGTTCCCTCTCGTTGTGTCTCTCTCTCTCAAATAAATAAATAAAATCTTAAAAAAAAAAAAAAAGAAGAATGTTTGCCTAGCCCCTGAGGAAAATAATTTTTACTTTTACTTAAAAAAAATAAAGAGTCTGCCCTGACTCTCCTACCAAGTTCTCCTGACTGTTCCAGGAGAAACAATTGTGTTGAATTTTATTTTCTCTGCTTTCAGAGCTGAGATTCACCTGAGGAAATAAAGTTAAACTCTTTCTTTTAACAAACTAAGTTAAAGATAGTATAAAAAACTTCCTAATACATGGAATAGCCATACTGCCTCATTTAAAGAAAAGAGGAGCAAACGATAGATTTCTCAATTTCATGTGAAAAGTGGTACCTCCATCTTGGGGTTGGCTTCTTGTATTTAGTGCACTACTTGGTCCAAAGTAAATGCTCAAAACATGTTGTTGCTTAATGCAACAACATTGTTGGGGTTCATTATGGATTTGAAGGTTTGGGGTTTTTTATGTTGAATTTTTTTTATTTTGTTTTTTCTCATGTTTTTTTAATTAAACTTTTTATTTTGTGATAATTATAGAGTCACATGCAGTTGTAAGAATTATTACAGAGTTGTAAGAACAGCTTTTACCCAGTTTCCACAATGGTAAGATCTTAAGAACTATAGGACAATATCACAGCTAGGATACTGACATTAATACAGTCAAGACAGAATATTTCCATCGCCCCAAGGATCCCCCATGCTGTGTTTATAGTCAAACCCATTTCCTTTCCATCTCCACCTCCTCCTTAACCCTGATAATCACAAATCTCTTCTCCATTTTTATAATTTTGTCATTTCAAGCATGTTATAGAAATGAAATCATACAGTAGATAACCTTTTGTAATAAGCTTTTCTTCTTTAACTCAGAATAATTCTCTGGAGATTCATCCAAGTTATTACATATATTTATAGATCTTATTCTTTTTTATTGCTCAGTAGTTTCCATGTTGTGGATGTACCACAATGTGTTTAACCATCATCCATTGAAGGCCACCTCGGTTGTATCCAGATTTTGGCTATTATGAACAAAGCTGCTATAAATGTTTCTGTGCCAGTTTTTATGTAAGCCTAAGTCTTCACTTCTCTAGGATAAATTCCTAGGAGTGTGGTTGTTGGATTGTATGGTAGTTGCATGTTTTTTTTTTTTAAGATTTTATTTATTTGAGAGAGAGAGAGAGAGAGCACACGTCAGCGGGGAGAGGCGCAGAGGGAGAAGCAGACTCCCCGCTGAGCAGGGAGCCCCATGATGCTCGATCCCAGGACCCTGAGATCATGACCTGAGCCAAAGGCAGATGCTTACCTGACTGAGCCACCCAGGAGTCACTGCATGTTTAATTTTTAAAGAAACTGGCAAACTGTTTTCCATAGTGGGTATATAACTTTACATTCTCATGTACACAATGTATGAATGATCCAATTTCTCACTACCCTCTTCAGCATTTGGTGTTGTCATTTTTTTGTTGTTGGGGGGGGTCTATTCTGTTACATAGGTAGTGATATCTTATTGTGATTTTAGTTGGCATTTTCCTAATGGCTAATGATGCTGAACATCTTTTCATATACTTGTTTGTCACCAATATATCCTCTTCGGTGGAATGTCTCTTCATGTTTTTCTGATTTTCTACCTGAATTGCTATTTACTGTTGAATTTTCATGGTTCTTTATATATTCTAGATAGTAGTCCTTTATAAGTATGTGGTTTATAAATACTTTCTCCCTTTCCATAGCTTGTTTCCTCATCCTCTTAACAAGGTCTTTTGCAAAAGTTTTTAATATTGATGAAGTCCACTCTATCAGTTTTTCCTTTTATGGATCATGCTTTTGATGTCAAATCTAAGAACTCTTTTGTCTAGCCTTGTATCCTAAAGTTTATCTCCTAGGTTTTTTTTCCTAAAAGTTTTAGAGTTTTATATTTAACATTTAAGTCCATGAACCATTTTGAGTTAATTTTTGCATAAGCTGTGCCAGAGAATTCTAACATTTTATTATCTCAATGTTGACATATATTAATTGTCTTTTTTCTTTCAATTTGAGATCTTCCTGGTTCTTGGTATGATGAGTGATTTGTAATTGAAATCTGGACATTTTTCTATTATAAGACTCTGGATCTTACTTAAACCTTCTGTTTTAGCTGGCTTTATGTGATACTACTTGGCAGGGGAAGCAGGGAGGGTGCTAACTCATGATGGCCAGAGGTCGAAGTTCGTGTTCCCCATATTATCTTCACTAACACTGACCTTTGGCAATGAAATCACCAGCTCCCGATTTGGCTTTCTCTAAGGAAGTTATTAGGGCATCTCCGCACAGCTTTGTGAGCATGGAAGTCTAAGCTCCCCACTTGGTGTGGGTGAGGCCAAAGTTTTTTGTGATCTTCAACTGGAGTAGAGCAGTTATTACTAAAAGTTTTGTCTTGCTAAACTGCTTTATCTGATCCTTTGGCCAAAGAGAGTAAACTTTTGTTGTTTGTAATTGTTGGTGTAATTGGCCAGCTTCTTCAGCTCCAGGTGTGAGATACCCGAAGCAGAAAGAAAACCCAGAGCACGCAGTACCATGTCCTTCCTCAGGTCCCAAGGTCCCTGGTCAGACTGCTCTCTTTTCTCCACCTTCAGACTCTTCTTCTGTTTGTTCTCTATGTAACAGCGAGGTTTGTAAAGTAGTACTTCTCAGGAGGAATACGTAAAAGTGTATCTACTCCATCTTCTCCAAGGCAGAAGAAAGTTCTCCTTCATTATGGTTTTGATGGTGACATTTTAACTGTTTCCTGGCAAAAGAGTTCTAACACAGTTTTAAAATTATAATAGCCCAGCAAACCTCAGAACAAATGCTGACTCTGGATAAAGACTGCTTGAGGTCAGAAGCTAAAACACTTTTTCAGACTGCTTTGTATCCAGAGGCAGAGTCAATGACAAATCTCTCTGGGGTCTGCACGGCCTTTAGGCCTTCACAATACAATAATCAGTGCAAAGGAAGAGACTCGAAGGCATTGAATCGGGTTTGCAGATGAAGTTGGGGGTAAGGCAGGCAGGGTGTTCATCCGTTGTTCTAAATTTTAGGAAAATCACGTAAAGAGGAACTTTCCCCAGCATAGCCGTGTTGTACCTCCCCCCGTTTTGCGAAAAACCAAACTCTCACAAGGTATTTGGATTGAAATTTGCTGGCACACATGCACTTGAATTACTTGGCTCCTTTGGTTTTATGCTGTAAGACATTTTTTTCAGGGTACTCAAGCAGATCTGCTTTGAATCCTACTTTGCCACTTCATTATCTGCATGCTCTTGGGCAATTTACGAATATCTCTAAGCTTCTGTTCCTTTGTCTTTAAAACAGAAAATAGGGGCACCTGGGTGGCTCAGTTGGTTGAGCATCTGCCTTCGGCTCAGGTCATGATCCCAGAGTCCTGGGATCCAGGCAGCGGGCTCTCTGCTGAGCAGGGAACCTGCTTCTCCCTCTTCCTCTCCCTCTGTGCGCTCTCTCGATCTCTCAAATAAATAAATAAAATCTTTAAAAAATAAAAATAAAAAAATAAGACAGAAAATAATTGGACCTCTCTCAAAGTTACTGTGAGGATTTCATCACATCTGTAAGGGTTTAAACAGTATCAGTTTACTTTAGTAATTATTATAGTAGCAGCAATAGTCACAGTGGTGTTTATTACACAGTAGTAGTGTAATGGTCACATGATTGCTGAATACTTATACTGTTGTTATAACTAATTCTATGGTGAGGAGCATGAGCTGGTCATTCACAGAGTCCGTCCTCTGTGGGCACTGAAGACTTAATTTCTTTACCATTTTCTCATGGAGAACAGGCTCTCTGAATAATAGGAGGTCTTTACTTTGCATTGAACATTACAACATTGAACACTTTGCAGTCTTTTTTTTTTTTTTAAAGATTTTTATTTATTTGAGAGAGAGAGAGTGAGCGAGAGCATGAGAGGGTGGAGGGTCAGAGGGAGAAGCAGACTCCCTGCTGAGCAGGGAGCCCGAT